TTTTCTTTATTCATCTCTTCAGCTTTCTTTTCATACATGAGGCCAAAGTCTCTTTCCTTTCCCACTCTAGATTTACTCTCTGCTGTTTCATATACAGTTTTGCCTCCCGTTCTGAATCCCATCATTTATAGCTTCCGGAACAAGGACATTCAAGCAGCTGTGTGGAAATTAACATCACAGATCAAAAAGTATTTCCTAACCTGATTGAATCATCTTCAGTCTGAAAAATATGATATACCATTAAATGAATGTCCTTGTGAAACCATGGATGATCCTCCTCACATATCACATATCATTCTACCAAAACTGCATGAAGTCCTGATTCATTACTATTACTTATAATAAAAATTCTTTTTTCATCTCATCTGTATCCAAAGAAGCAACTAGTAGTGCTTTCATTTAACTTAAATTAAGATATATCCACAGTGGTGAGGATGTTAGAAAAATGGATTGTCACATTCAGAGGTATTGATTAGTTCATTCTCATTGCCATGGTTTATGCAGACTATATTAGCCATTTGCCTATAGAAAATATATCAGGATGCATGTTTTTAAATGGCTTCTTTCCCTTGAGTTTTCAAGATAACAAAAAAAAGTTATGGTCAACTTATTTACTGAAATTACATTTTTGATCATGTAATACAATCTTTGAACACTTCCCCCCCCCCCCCTTATTATACAGTAGAACACAATTACTGATGTTCCCTTCCACTGGTACTGGAGCCAGTAAATCTCTCTCTTTTCTTGTTAAAATGTTTCCATAGTTGCACGTTTTAATGTTGTTTGGATTTCCCTTGAAGGTGGTAAACTTAAGCCAATTTAGGATCTCTATTCCAGTGGACACATGAGCCAAAGAAGGCAACAGAATGAATTTCCACAACAATTGCAAACACCTAAAGGTAACGGATACTCTGAAAAGAGAGCAATGTTCCTTCTTGAAACATTTGGGCATGGAATGCAAACCTGGTTGCTAATGTAGAGACCATCTAGAATAGCTTTTTGAGGACCTCCTGGACTGTCCCCAGAAAGTCCCTGTCAAAATTTTAGGAATGGAAACCTGGTTGCCCTCAATCTCTATCAGAACTTACTTGAAATTATTGCAATATTTCAAGAAATGTGAATCTCATTGAAGCATTATTGGCATTAACAGGAGAGAGCCCTGTGGGAAAACATGCTGTTTGCTATTCTGTAGTAATATTTTGCCTTCACTGGAGAATGGAGAATCTTATTCTTTGGGCCACGGAAAAAAATCCATGACTGGCTCTTTCAGCAGGATGCCAGGCAAGAAGTGTATTTAATTCAGCTATTTTCCCACAGAGGGAGGGAGGGAGGGAGGGAAGGAAGGGGAGAGAGAGAGAGAGAGGGAGAGAGAGAGAGAGAGAGAGAGAGAGGAA